GGACAAGTTTATGTTTACCTCCACAAAAGCCTCGAAAACGCCTAGCCCCTACCCTCTAGACTCGTGAAGCCGAAACACTGCTTAGTTGGACATCCTTGACAATTGTGTCGCCTGGATATAGAAACACGGTTGTACAGTTTTAGTAAACATACTTAATACCAAATAGATAACAATTTGTACCATTCGAGTATCTTACCACGTATCTTTGAAGCGGGGCTCTCTGTAGTTGTGTGTCGTCCCTAGTGGCAACGTCGTACACATCTTCGATCACATCTTCCTGAGTCCTCGTCAATCGTCTCCTCAGTGTACGGGGGCTTGATATGTGTCCTCGTAGACCTATGAAGCCACCGCAGGTACTCGTCGAAGGTGTGCTGGTCGTGTGGGGGATCCGCATGGACTGCCTGCCGGTCCCTGTTCTGCCACAACTGGATGTACACGTTGTGTGTCACGCGTCAATCCTTGGTCTTGTACCTCTTTCTGTGGTCATACCTGCAACAAAATGATTGTTAGTTGTACCACACACACATCTCTGAATTATAGCTTTGTTATTAATCGATAACGCACCCGTGTAATTCTTGGTTGGTGGAGTAAAGTGGTGGTGGGTAGCCTGTCATTCTTTCAAACTGCCTGTAAACCCTGATGGGCAAGTGAAACTCAACCACGTGAAAGAAAATAAGAGGGACGTTGCAGCGATACTCGTCTGACTCATCCCTAGTGATAGGACTCAGATGGTACTCGAGCTCTGGAGCATCATAAGGACACCAATGCACCTGAACATTTTGTAATTGAGTTAGGTTATGATATAGTGTACATCGAACAAGACATATGTATGATAGTAAAGAGAGCGTAACATGGTGTTGTGTCAGGACGTCGAGACCGTCCGTGTACTCTCTGTACTTGCGTCTCGTATTTTCTCTAACTGACTCTGCTTCCGTCAAGATATACAGAGCTGTAGTGAGTGTATCATGTCCGTTCCAATGCTGCATTAAACATGATAATGAATTAGCCATTAATAATTTAATTATATATAACTGCCTAAGAATATATTGAACCGAAGTATTTATCGGTAAACCAGTAGCAAGGGGCCTCCCAACGGGCCATCGTTCCCAACACCAAACCTAGAGTAGGTAGGAGCAACCCCCAAGGTTCGCATACCCTGAGGTGCGACGGCAGGCAACGCATAGCTGTCGATACGTCTATGCTAGGACTGCGCTGCCCCAGCTGTACGTCGCTATATTTTTCCACAGCTGGCGTAGTATGTCAAGAAAGATCCAGCTGATGGTGTTGCCCGAGGCGTCTAGGTAGAGGAAAGCACCAAGAAAGTGCCAGAGCCACACTCTAGCGAACCTGTCGAACTGAGCCTCATCAGCCTGTGGATCCAAGTAATCAAAGCGCTCTATGATCCACGACGACGAAACACCAGAACTTTTTCTGAAATTCATCAAAGAAAATGAGACCCGATGGCTACAGGAAAGCAATGCAAGTATTAAATAGGCTTGAATTGCTCACTTATTTTTCTTGGCAACCTTGTCGTCCGGTGGAAGAAAGCCAGTGAACTGAGCCACCAGCTTTCTCTAGTGATCGTTGTTAACTATACCTGTCACTGGAAGTCCCCCAACCGAAGGCGAAAGATAGCCTTCACGTGCTACATGGTCAAGGTCATCTCACCGTAAAGTAGATAGAACGTATGAGTTTCAGGCCTCCACCTGTTATAAGAATAGAACGACTATTAGTTGCCTCAAATTTGTTATAAGAATGTTTACGTACAATGAAGACACTCGCACCTGTCTACTGCTACAGTAGTAGTAGTGCTGGGTCAAGGGATGGAAGACCGTAGTTGACAACATGTACAAGCTCGAGAAAACCGGCACGCCATATGTACTGCGCGTAACGCTCGCCCCACTGGTGCACCCTGGTGTGTGTGTGCGCGGGGCCTCAAAGGAGGCAAGGCCACCTCTGCGTCGGTGTCACTCAAGATGTGTGCTCAGTGCGGCTCATCGTACTCCACCTCAAGAAGGGGGTACAACGGGTGCTACGTGAGAGGGGCCATCCTGTTACGAATTGATAAACAAAGGGTTAGAGTATTTAAATTAACAATATTCAAATTAATATTATGTATCATTATAAAATTTAAACTACTTGTTATGCAACAGGAACACAGTATGAAAGCACATGTATATATTGAAAGTGACATTAACAGACATTTTAAACAACTTCACTAGGAAAATAAGCAACTTCTATGTATGGATCTGTTGTCCACCGGTGTTTCTTATTAAATTATTACAATAGCTTGTCTGCATCTGCTAGAGCAGCTTATTAAAATTTTAACCTAGGGATGAGTAGCTCAGTATAAGATGAATTGATTGAGAACTATCATGTGTGTCATACTTAGTCCTATACTCTATACTAATATATCTAAAAATACAGGTTGTCTACTTTTTTCGCATAACGCTATGATGGACTTATAGCTTTAAGCACAAGACTAGAATGTTGTTGAGATTACTGTGACAAATATGAGATAACTTGGATAGTCACAATTTTACCTCTTGATCACTAAGTTTTACGATTTATGTATGCTGATACCAGTACGATATCAACAATGTTGTGCATGATTTTGGAGGTTATAGTGCTTTCAATTTGTGCTTGAGTAAAATGATCATTTGATTAATGTTTCCATGTAAGAAAACAAGCATATAATAATTTAAATCATAAAAACTCAACCAACCAAATTTGTCGCTATATATATGTATGTCTAGTGCACAAAAAACACGTAAATAAATTTATATTTCACGTGTCTTTTAATTAGATATTTGTTTTCGCTATAATTAATAATGCACTGTAAGAAATTTAACAATTAAAGTATATAAATAATAATATAATATAAGATAAATTAACGGCTAAATTATATAAATAATAATACAATGTAAGATAAATTCACCTTAGCGACGGTTGAACTACGGTGAGGGCGTCTGTGGCGCGGCGGGCAGCCGCCGTGCGTGGCGGGGGTGGCGCGCCGACGTGCGGGCGTGGCGGGCTGCCGGTGGGGTGGCGCGCCTTCGTTCGTGGCGCGGCAGGCGCTGCAGGCGGCGTGCAGGCGCGGCGGCGGCGGTGCTGAGGGCAGGCTGAGGGCGGGCGGCTCGCGGGCAGGCGCGAGGGAGGGCGGCTCGCGGGCGATATTTATCTGGTCCTGCCGTCAGTGCCGCGCCAAGATCGGTGGCGCGACCGACCCTGCCACGTCACCGGTCAGCGGCCCGGTCGTCGCCACGTCACCTCCCTCGCGGCGCCATTATGCATTGTGCCGCGCCATGGCAATAGTCATTGTCAAAAGTGTTACTTGCTATGTACACTGGGCTAACTTGAATCTGTTTACTTGACTTCTATTTGAAACTACTCCTCATCCTAGGTTAAATGATTTGCCCATCGCGCATCCAAATTTTTTCCCGCATTTACTCAGATGAGCTCTGGACAGTAATGCCTGATCTCATACCATTCTTTTACTGGCCATTTTTCTTCTTCGTCAAATTTTGATCGAGTAAGTCCGGTAGGTTTACAAGAAATTTTTGTCAGAGAGGCTTCAGTCAGGCTAATTATTTGCAGAGTTAAGGTATATTTGTTTTTGTTTGGGCAAGCAAGATTTAAATTGTCAAGAATGTAACTATTAACACTCTTTTTTTTCCCTGGTGCATACAAACAGCCTGTTCGTTTGCTCGTAAACGATCGTAAATTTCCAGCCGAGAACAGTGTTTTTTTCTCACACCAAACCAGCCAGCAGTAAATAATCCACGATACGATACGGCCTCCCGAACAGGCTGAAAAGCTGCACTTGTTGTGTAGTTGATCAGATTCCCTATACTGCTTTACATCTCTTCCTGCCTTCAGAGAACAGGTAGCACCGTAGCGTTGGCTTCGTACATACCTCAGCTGGTAATACTACATAGCAAGTTACTCATCCGGTTACTGTTCATTCCTGCTATTGCACTCTTAAAATTGTCCTCGTTTTTCTTTTGAGGGATCCCCCCTCATTTATCAAGGCCAAGGAGTGTTTCCATTAGAGGATAAACTTCACCTTTTAGTTGTGACAGTGCAACTAGTCAACTACTACTAACTCCTACAAATGAATCATGTGTTCCCTTGTGCTTGCAGAAAGAAATCCTACAACCTACCAGTGTCAGTCACTCTACATCAGTTGATGCAAAAAGCTTCGTAAAGGGATGCAGTAGTTCTACTGCATGGTTTAGTGTTTTGACTAAATCACATATGTTTTGGGTCATTGGATCGACCCAAAACTTGCAAAGATAAACTAGAGTGACATTGCCACGTAGATAATCTAGAAGTAGAAATGAATTAAGCTATCTAACCCATAAGACACCATTGCCCTGTTCGTTTGGCTAATAAGTCATGGCTGAAAGTACTGTTGACTGATTTGTTGTGAGAGAAAAATATTGTTTGTTGGTTGAAAAATACGGCTTATAAGCCAAGCAAACAGCGCGTTACTTGCCAGCTTTTGAAAAAGAGGGGAAAAAGAATGAGAAGAAGACACGTGGTCAGAGATAGGAGCACAATCAATGAAATAAATAACCCTGGGCGCCGTGAAGTTACTGCGTATAAAAAGGGTGCTTATATAGTTTGTGTTCTATCACGACAACGGGCACGCGGTCGTAGGGGATGTGTGGCGCAGACCGCCTCGCCGAAGGGATGTCATGTGTGGCTCAGCAGCCGCCGTCTCCCTCGGGCTGCTTGGCGCTGCAGTACATCTGGAGACCGCTGCTAGTACACTCGGAAACCTCGCGAGCATGAAGAACACAAGCGCCGCGCTCTTCCCATGTGTACTGCAGCTACCAGCTAGTACTACTGAGTGAGCACCACTGAATCAGTACTACACCATTGCTGCAGGCTGCTTGGCTGCCTACAAATAGGCCACCAGTGACCTGCAAAGCCATCAGCCATGGCAGGTCGAGCATCTCCTCTAGTTCTAGTAGGGATAGGAATAGGAATCAGGGTCAGTTCCCTTTCCTCTCCTGGCTGTAGCAGCAGCAGTGGAAGGGGCATGCAGAGGAGAGGAGCACGAGGCTTGGCTGGAAGCCGACCTGTGCTATGCTACCCCTCGCTGGCTCTCCTGTGCCTGCCTCTTCCATTCCTTCTGCCACGCTATGTTTGCAAGTTTCAGAGCTCAGAAGTGCAAGTGCCATGTGAGGCAACACCGCAACAGCATTGGCCTTCCACCTACTGCATATATTGTAAATTTCTCAGTCATTTCTGAACCTCGATTTCTATATTAGCAGGTGACATGACATGGAGAGCTCCAGGACTTCTGATGTGTGAAGATAGACCACGGATGCCAATGTCACTGTTGAAACGGATCTGGGGGCAACAATGTCCAAGTACCCTAGGCCTGGTTTAGTTCCAAAAATTTTCACCCCAAATTATCACATCGAATCTTGCGACACATGCATGGAGTATTAAATATAGACGAAAAAAAACTAATTGCACAGTTTGGTTGGAAATCACGAGACGAATGTTTTAAGACTAATTAGTCTATGATTAGCCATAAGTGCTACAGTAACTACCATGCGATAATGGTGGATTAATTAGGTTTAATAAATTTGTCTTGCAGTTTCCAGGCGAGCTATGTAATTAGTTTTTTTTATTAGTATCCGAAAACCCCTTCCGACATCCCCGAAACATCCGATGTGATATTCAAAAAATTTTATTTCGCGAACTAAACACAGCCTTGGTATTATCCCAGAAGGGCATCTTTACTGGCATGTAAGCAGATTGTGGGGCTGCATTCACAAACCCTGCAAAACGAAAATAACTTCACTTTTGTTACAAATGAAATGCAAGCGTGAAAAGGAGCCGCCATCGACTAGCAGCTTTGTATATTTCCTGAAGTTACACTTGATGATTGCATTGCATCATTCGACCCGCTCAGTTGCTTCAGATTACAGGGAATCAGAATGTGCGAAGAATTCACTAGGGCCGGGCAGTAGTATACTCGTAGTTTCACTTGATTAATATATCAGCTACCTACAGTACAAAACAACACACATTATGAACTTATATAAACTTCCCATACATATTTTGTTTACATCATATAACATCGTCATCTATCCATCCATGTTCTGAAGAAGTCTGAACACTTGACAAGCAGAAAAACAGCTTCCTCTTCAACTACCCGCCCTCCAGTTTCCGAAGACTGCATGCAAAGACGGCAATCCCAACAGGTAGCAACACGATCAGAATCACTGAATCACATATGTGTGTCAGCGTGTGTGCATATTGTCGAGCATGCATGCATGCCTTGGCTTGGGCTACCTGCAGTTGCGCGGCACGGTCCAGGAAACCGAGTGCTTGTCCTCGCGAGGCAGCGCCCTGAACCTCCTCCAGTCCTGGAGCATGGCGCTGAGGTCGCTGATCTTGCGTCGCAGCCCGATGCAGCAGTTGGCGTGCATGGTGCAGACCCTGCTCATGTTCCGGCTCGGCTCGCAGAGGCCGCCGAAGAGCTCGGTGCTGAGGAACCTGATCCGGACGCCGAGCTCGGCGACGTAGGGGTCGCGCTTGATGGCGTTGAGCACGTCCTGGTCGTGCAGCCCCGGGTGGCGCTCCCGCGCCGCGTACCAGAACCTGTAGAACTCGGTCGTCTCCGTGTTGGACCGCACGTACGCGAACCCGCCGTTGGGCGCGTTGCTCAGGTCGCTCGGGTCGCCGGTGAAGTGGTCGCACGCGATCTGGAAGTCCCCGTCCGGGTAGAAGTGCGGCAGCGGGTTCCTGAACCACACGATGTCCGTGTCCTGAAACGTTGCTCATGCATTGAGAATAATTAGCTTTGCTTCAGAGTTCAAGAATGCATGGTAAAGAAGAACAGGTTTGTAGAATTACCGTGAACACGAAGCTGAAGCCTTTCTCAAGAACTTCCCTGAGGAAATCGATCCTCCTCCACATCATCTTGAGGTAGCCGTCGGTCATGAAGTTCTTCTGCCCGGAGAAGTCGACGCCGTCCGTGACGAGAGCGAAGCAGTGGCGGTGCACCTGCCTGCAGCGCGCGTGCGCCGTCGTGTCCAGTGACACGATGACGAGGTGGTCCAGCAGCTCCCTGGTGCTCTCGCCGGACCGGAAGCTCTCCAGGAAGACGTCCAGCACGGAGCCCGGCTCCGACCACGCCGAGTTCAGTGTCGTCAGGATCACCGTGTCGTTGGGCATCGCGGCCGCCGTCAGGACTCGCTCCAGCCTCGCGTCCTCGCTGTCCTGCACGTACGCAGCACAGCAACTGCAGGTCAGTTGATTTGCCAGGCGACGATTAGCCTGTTCACACGCCATTGCCGCACAACAGCACAAGGCACGCAGGAGGTGAAGATTCTGGCTGTCTCGTCTCACTCGGCATAATCCAAGTGGCCGCATACCGCATGATCGACGTTGAATCACATAGCATGGCAACTGCTACAAATAGAAGCAGAATTCTTTCATGCATCGAATTTTGAATGGAGATACTAAAGGTTTACAGAAAGAGGCGAGGTTGACTAGTCCAGTGGTTATACTCCACTAGTGCTAGTGGTTTATGCTACAGGAAATTGCGAACAGTATTTCATCAGTTATCTTCCAAAAAGGTATTTCAGCAGTTCTTTTTTTCCTGAAAGGAAGTATTGCATCAGTTCACCCATTCTTCTGATGCAACTGAAATATTTAGCATTACTGCAATTTATTTTCTTCTTTATGAATCTGATTGAAACGGAAACGCGTCGTATGGCCTTTTCACGGCGAAGAACAAAAGGACATGCAGAACCGAAACACGGATCACACGAGACTTCGTCTTGCAAAAAAATGGAGGCACGTAGGGCCTCTTGCATCGCGGAGCGAGGTCACGTACTCACCAGGTCCGCCGCGGCGGCGGCATCGCGCGCCGCGCCGCGCCGCCACGGAATGGAGGCGGCGACGAGCAGGTCCCCCGGCGCCACGACGGCGCGGTGGTACAGCACGAGGCACGGGAGCGCGACGGCCGCCAGGAACAGCAGCGCCTTGGCCGCCCTCCGCACCTCCGCGCCCGCGCCGCCGTGACCCTGCTGCTGGTCTGGAGCGGCGGCGCGCGTCACGGGCAGCGGCGGCGGCGGCGCGGCCATGTGCGCGCGTGCGCGCGCGCGTGAGAAAGTCAGCCCGGCTAGGATCCGGGCGCCGGCGAACGCGCGGGCTGATCGGGAGGTTGATGATGGTTCCGGTAACACGAGTGCTCGCCAGTCGCCGCCGCGAGGTTATACGGAGGGAGTACGAGGTTTGCGTGCGTGGAGATCTCGGTGATGCACATAGACGCGTATGCACACAAATAGGAAAGGGAGAACACGGTGAAGGAAGTCGAAACCGAAGGTATTAATTTAGATTTACCTCAAGGAAAGGATTTGGCAAACAATTAAAAGATTGGAAGGGAGAAGATGCTATTGCGGACAGGTAAAAAAAGTGAAGTTTTGATCAAGGTAGTAGCGCAAAGGATACCCATTTTTGCAGTCAAAACCGTCAGGCAGGCTACAGAATTGCATGCCATATGTAGGAGTCGATTCAGAATGGGATCCGAGTTTTGGAGAATGGTATGATTTCGAGAGGGGGCAACGTGACAAATATTGATATTTGGTATGAGCTGATCCTTGGATTCCAAAAAGTTTTAGCAAGAGAACCCTTAACATCTCGAGTGGAAGAAATGCGTTGATAGTAGCGGATTTGAACGGCCCAGTTAGTAGCGAGATTGGGATTACCGGACGTCCATCCAGAGCGCTGGCGTCCGGATGCTGCCACGTAGTATAGCGTATAGCGTGCCGGTCTCGCGAGGGAGTGCACCAGCAGTGGCCCGTGTCACCCCAAACGTCGCTCACGCCGCCCCGAACGTCGTCCGTGCCGCCGTCCGCTTCCCACGCGCATCTCATGTGCAACAGCCGATCTATTTTTGAAACATCCAGACGCAACAGTTGCAACATACAAAAGAACAAATGAAACACTTAAAACAAGCGTCTGAAACACTTGCGAAAACGCCCGAAAAATATTTGAAAACCACTGCAAACATATGCAACATCTAAATAAAACACTCACAAACATACGTATGAAACACCTGAAAACACTTGAAACATATTCTTACAACATGCATGCATATGCAACATCCCGATCTACTTTGCAACATCCAGATAAAACACTTGCAACATTCGTCTGAAACAGATAAAATATTTGGAACATACACTTAAAACAAAAGGGTATAGTCATTATAACATGTTTGTAACATCGATATACAACACTTGCAGCATACATCTGAAACACTTGAAACATATTACTGCAACATGCGCTTTCAGCATATCATCTGCTCGCTGCTGGATGAATGGAGGCTCATCGACGCGGAGCTCGATGTCGTGGAGTGACGCGGAGATCGCCAGTGTGGAGCTCGTCGGCGACACGGACCTTGGTAGGGGCAGGCGGATGGAGCGCGGCCACGACGGGAAGCACGAGTCCCGGTGGGGGCACATGGCGGACGCAGGGCAGGCCGCGCGGCGCGAGCGGGGGTGGCACGACCAATGGTGGGGTCTGTTTCGGAGCAGAGGCGCGCAGCGCGATGAGCGAGCAGACGACGCGGGCAGGGGTGGCGAGAGCGTGGCGCAAAACGAGCAGGCGACTTATACGGGGTCCATCCAGACGGATGGACGACCTATAAGCAGCATTACCGTTGGATTATGACCTAGTGAACCAAATCTTCTGACTGTAATAACCTGTAAGAGATGCGATCATAGATCAATCCCGGCTCACGTGGATATGGAGGATATCCGGCTTGGGCGATATGGCGAAGTGCTATTAAAAAAACGAAGTGTACATGCATGGAGCTGAGCACGACCATAGGAGAAGAGGGATCCCAATTTCCCAACCACGGCATAAGGAGAGGTAATTGATGTGTTACGAGCAAACATGCTCGGAACGTATAGTTTGCCTTATGTTATGTGATGTTTTGAAATCGTACTCTATACCATAACTAGAAGTGTGTTGTTATTCTAACTCACATCAGGATGAACGTGAGTTTAGGTCATGAACGAGACAATAAACCAAGTAGGACTCTTATCTTTAATCATTAGTAAAACCATTCAATACTATTAGCGTGTGTTTGGTTGAGGTATAGGACGGAGTCCTGATATTTATTGAGGAACAGGTGGGATAGAACAGTCCACAAGAGTGAATATTCCTCTAAAATGCCAACCCTCCAAAATTGAGATACCAACCCGTTCTCTCTCGACGCCATCCTCTCAGGGAGTAGAGGAACGAATGGTTGGGGAGGGAGGGACGGACCAAGAGACAAAAAGAAGAAACAATCTCCCTTTAATATTAGACTAGCAAACATGTCCGTGCGTTGCAATAGGATACACAATTACACAATTTGTTGCGTGGTGCTCGTGACATTGATAATGAGGTAGTTATTTTTCAATTTAATTAGGCTTGGCCCAATCTTAAATAAAAAATCCTCGTCCCATAAGAAATTCTAGTGCAACAAATGGTTAACCCCTATGAAAAGTTGTCAAGAGATTGACTCAAATTATATACTCCATCTGTACCTATTTAAGTGTTGCCGTAGGATTCGTGCCGGTCAAACTTTCTAAGTTTAACTAATTTTGTAGAAAATATTAGCAACATTTGTATATCCAAATTAATTTATTATAAAAAATATTCAACAATCTATCAAATGATATTAATTAGTGACTATAAATATTAATATTTTATTTTGTATATTTATTCAAAGTGAAGTATATTTGACTTCTCCATAAGTGAGAATGACGATTAAAAGGGATAGAGGGAGTAGGTGGCTATTGTGTGCACTTGTAGTGAGTTTAATAAAGGTGGAAGTCTAGAATGCTGAAAGCCCTAAGTTCGTATTTGGTTAACTTGAGTGTCACCTAGTGGATCCCTGCTTTTAATGAGCTCTTATGAGCGTTTATCCGGGTACGAACAGATTTTTTTAAGGAATCAGGGATTCCATTACTCAACCCAAGTCACTTGACACCAATCACTAGCGATCGGGGATTCCATTGCTACCTGAACCACCCAGCCCGGTGGACCCAAGCCGTCAGTGATAGGAGAAGGGGGGAAAGGGGATTGAGAAAATGGTGTTGGATCCCTTTTGTTTGAGTGAGAGAGGGAGAATTTTGAGGTGTTTGAGAAAAAAAAATCGGTGAACAGGATTAGAAAGATGATCTGCGGGGTTTTTTTGGACTTAAATTCCCTTTAGGCCTACTTTGGCAACAGGGGAACCCAGAGGGATCCCTGTGATTTCCCTAGGCCAAAAACCCACGAGCCAATCTACCCCGGGACAATCCGTCGCGCACTTTGGAAGCCCATCCGTGCCGGGCTCGAAGCCCGCTTCCCCTCCTTTTTCGCGCGGAAGGAATCCATTACTCCGGAGGCTGGGAGGGTTTCCCCGACTCGTCACTCGCTCACAACTCGTGACTCGCGAGGCCGCCGCCACCCCAGCATCCGGCCGCCGCCGCCCCTCCGCCGCCTCGGCATCCCGTCGCTGCCACCCCTCGACCTTCTCATCGCTTCGGCTCACGCCAACAGTGAGCACGCCTCAACATCTCTGTGCACGCTAGGGTTTCGGGTCTCATCCTCTCTTCTCTTTCTTGTAGATCCTGGGGCTACCGCCGCCACCTCAACGCCCGGCTGCGTGAAGCTGATCCAGTGTCGCCGCTGCCCGCCAACCGGACCGCACCGGCTCAATCTCCACTGCTCCATGACTGCCCCCGCCTGGCCGCCTTGCCTCGTCCCAAGATCCAGTGAGTCCTCCCTCCCTCCTCCTTGTCCCTCCCAAGTTTGAGCTTCTGCGACTTGGATGTGTACCTTTTACTCATTGGATGTGCTTGTAGTAGTATGCTGAGAATATCATGTTTTGTTTGATGGTTAAAGAACTGCCTTAATCAGCAGTGCCTGCGACTTGGATGTGCTCAGCGATGCTGTGCATGCATGGGGTTTATTTGGCATGTGTTAGAGCAAATTCTCCTGTTTTAATTAGCTCAATAGACTTTGCTGCTTATTCCAAGTTAGTTCAGCTGCTCTCAACTCTGATGGTCACATGTTTGAGTTAGTTAGGGTCTATTTGGCATGGCTCCAACTCCAGTTAGAGCAGCTCCACTCCAAAAATCTAGGTGGAGCTGGCTCTGAGTGGAGTTAGAGTTGTCTATCGCAACTCCAGTTAGAGTCTGAGTGGCTCTGAGTGGAGAGAATACAAAGCTTCAAAATGGCAACTTTGATCAAGTATAAATTGTAGTGTCTATCGTAGTTCTGGATGTGATGATGATGAGGGCATGATGCTTTTGCAGGAGTGATTTTCTGCTGCGTCTTGGGACGGGGTGACACTGGTGTCAGGTTAGTTCCCCCCACTGTTGTTTTTTGCTAAATCATCTTGGGACGGGGTGACACTTGTGTATGGACAGTTATGAAAAGGGGTGGTTGTTTGAGTTCAGTGGATGACCAATACTCTAGAATCAGATTGATTTGTGTGGCAGGCACACATATAGATACAAAACTATGTCTAAATTTGTGTGTGCAGTACTACGTTGTCTGAATGAAAATTGACAGCATGCAAGTGCACTTGAGTTGGGTTGTCTGACCTTGTTAAGCATAGTGGGTCATATTCCTTTGGCTTTAAAATAGATAATTTAGCTGTTGTTTTTGTTGTCAGTCCTATTCTAAAAAAATGAATGCATACATGCCTGGATGAGTAGGTGCTGATGTAAGTGCTGCCTGGATGATTAGGTGCTGCTGTAGAGTGTTATAAATATGATTAGGTGCTGCTTTAGAATGTTATAGAAAATGATTAGGTACTTTTGACTTTTTTAGACTTTTAATACTTGTTTTCTCTACTTTTAATACTTGTTTTCTTAACTTTTTTAGACTTTTAATACTTTGAATCTGCCCTTCTAATACTTGTTTTCTCTACTTTGAGTGCTCTCCTTTTCTCTAGTTGATTTGAATTGGTAATATATATGTAATAATATAATTTCATATATGTAACACTAGATGGCTTCTTGGGAAGAGCTTGCTAGGAATTTTTTGTTGGAAGAGGAAGAAGATGAGTGTCGATGCGGGACCCACAGGATACCCCGTAAGA